GAGGAGTGATGTTAAACATAAACATAGTGAATGAGTAAACTGCAATGAATGGCACACACTCACATAAACACATATTCATGCACACAGACACGCAAACACGCACACAAAGTGTACCTTTTAAATCCTCGTAGTGCACAAAGTTGTTTTTTCTTGGAACCTTTGTCATTTCCCGAGTGCCTCGCCCATTCTGTTGAGACGTATCCACATGGAATATGGACCTCACTCTTTGCGGAGTAGGCCAGGAGGCTGCCGCAGATTGAGAGAGAGAGAGAAAAGAAAACGAGAGCTTTGTTTTAAACGCCACTTGCCTTATCACACTAAACGAAGCGAACACTCGTATATTTCTTCTTTACACTGGTGTTGCAATAAATGCAAGATCATTTCAACCGACAATCTTTCCCTCATTTCTTATAACTGACTATGGTAAACTATATAACCCATAAATACTCCGCTTTGGTATAATATTTATGTGTGTAACACATTAGTCGTGTATCAGCCTACTATTATTGCAGTGATCTGGTTCTTAGGGAGGACTTATTTCATCATGCACGAAGTCTGCTCGTATACGCAAGCTGTCGACAGCAACTAGAGTCCCAAGCGAAGCTAGGTCGTTAAACAGAATGTAGGTTTTATCGTTGACATTATGAATATGCGACAAGCCCGGAGGTTTCGCACGCAACATAAAAACGACGTTATTGGTAACAAACAGACGTAACAGACTCACCGGTCAGTGTATTCTCGATATTAAGACGGGTGTTCAGAACAAAAACGAACAACAGAACAAAAATGAAAGTGTTAGACGCAGTGGCTCGAAATATTTATAGAGAAAGGAAACAGTGCGAGAGCTATTGGATTGCATCGCAAACCGTTACTGTCCGTTGGCCGCCGCATATTTTGAAATTAAAGTACTGATGTCAATTGGCTGCTGAAAGTACAAGTCAGCCGGCGCAATGACTAATACAAAACGATGATGACGCGGCACTTCGCAAAGCAAAGATACCTACTATAAACAGCACTTTGTTTTGGTTAGCGGTAGCGTTATACAAAGACATAGTATTCAGTTATCTGAAGATTTTGAATTGAAACTTGGCCCTTACAAGGGCGCCCCTTCGACAAAGTGCAATAGCGCGAATGGCGATGCCCATGCGCTGCATTACCCCTAGTTCACACTGAAGCATACGTTTTCTACAGAGACCGAACTTCTTCTGCCGGTGAAACGCAGCGTCGTTCTCAGTGGACTCGCCCCGCACCGCCTAGTATGCCATCTTCCACAAGGTGAACGCGGGATGGATGCACTGTCACCCAGTCGTTTTTGCCGCTCGCAAACACCACTACGCTATCCGGTGATCCAGACTTCAATGATTCTCGTACGCAGGAAGGAAGAAGAAGCAGTACTGCTGTCACACCTGTCCCGTTTATTAGGGAGGCGATCGCCGGGCTAATTCCAAGAGCCGAAGTATCGGCCCCCCGAACCGCACCACGAAAGCGTGGACAATTTAGAAGTGGTCCTTATTGGTGCGCCAGCGGACGCCGGCTGTGGCCCAAAGAACAAGACAGAGCCGAGAGTTGATAAACAAACAAAATTATATTCTCATTAACGGCAGATCAAAACAATACACACGTATGCACACTCCACAATAGTTACATACAATACGTCACCAAACAGACAATGTACTACACAGTACAATCAACCACACTTGAAACAACGGACACAGACAACAATACGCACTACAATGCAGTCGCATACATTGAACAACCAAGACACTTAAAGACTAAAGAGATATAAAACCTATTCAGTCCAAAGTCCTTGGAACAAAAGTCTGAATGATACTCATCCGAGAATCACTCACTCAAAGTCCAGCGTTGTTGTCGTTCCGCAGCTCTCGAAGTTCCCTTCCAGGAAACCTCGCCGGAGTTTCTCTTCCAGGAAAACTCCCGTCTTCAATTGGCCACTCTTCAAACTTCAACTTCTTCGCCGGAAAACCGTCGGCTTCACACACGCAGCTGTTGCCCGCGTCTTCGCTCGATAGCGGTAAACTCACGCTCTTGCCTGTAGCTCGAGCCGTCCCTACGGACCAAAAACTTCGCCGACTACACGGCGGACTCTCTACGCACTCTGGCGCTCACTTCCGTCTCCTCCTGTCCTGTCACTACGGGCAGAACCTTCGCCGACTCCACGGCGGAATCCCTACGCGCTCTGGCGTTAACTTCCGTCTGCTCCTGATTTCTCGTCTCGGCCGCTCGGTTAAATACCTTGCGCGCGACATTCCAGATGTTTCTTGTCGTTTCGTCGGCGCGATGCGCAGCGAAAGCTGGGGAGAGGTGCGAGACGGTTCGATTGCCCTCTCCGGAGGATGATTCGCTCGGTCTGACCCCGCCTCCTTCGTTCTAGAAAAATCGCGGCCTTGCTGGGCCGCCGATGTGGGGTGAGGAGGATCGTCTGCGAAGCCGTGCTTCTGCGGGGAGAGCGCGCGCCCGGGAGCCCTGGATGTTTGCTTTCTTTTTTTTTTTCTTTTTACCTCGAGGCGTTTCTGCCGCCCGTTGTCGCAAGTATTTGGCGGCGCGCTCTTGTTTAGCGCTCGTTCTGTGACAACTGCCTACTTTCCTGGCAAGTCGCTGTCTCGTAATTCATGAAGAGTAAAAAAAAAGCGTGGACGCCAGTGGCGTTGGTGGGTTCGTCTTGCTCTTCAAGACCGCGACAAGCTCGGTCACGCCAACGACAAGCTCGGCCACCTTTTGCACGGAATAGCAACGTGACCTAGGCAAAAAATGGATTGAATGTCCGTTGGTTACAACATTCAGTTACGTGCGCTGTGACATGACAAGTTAGTAGGGCTTTTCCGCCATTTTTCAAAATTTCTTGACTAGCGTTCTTGTTGGTTCATGGCGGCTGATTCGGCGGCAGATGCCGCAAAAATCAGTCCGAGAGCGATAAGCGCGGAAAGGGTCCTTTCAGCGAATCTCGTCGCCACCGAATCGGATTCGGTGCACTTTCGGCGGCCTGAAGTTCAGTATATAGATCTACTTCAAGTGTTTGAAGCCGAAACGCTCCGCGGTTGATTTTTTCGCCTCCTACAGGTGATCACTTGAACTTGAGAATTTCCGGGGCCTGGGAAGACTGAGCCAGGAGAGAGGAGGATGGCTAGTGCTCTTGACAACGCTTTTCGCACGGCCGGCATCTCCCGGGCATTTAATCCCTTTGGATACCTTTGGACACTAAGTTCGCACGCGGAACGCATCCCTCTGTGGTTACTCCTCAATGGTCTATCTGTTCATGGCGCGCGCCTATTGGGCTCCGCTACTCCTTTTTCGGGTAATTTTGCCTTGGAGTGTAGCATGTAGATTGGCCAGTAATACTTCATTGCCACATTTTTTTTTTTGAATATGGGAGTCAGTTCACTGCGCTTCGAATTGTTGGCAAAAGGCTTGCTTAAAAAATGCAGTTAATTTTATGGGCAGCACATTGCCAATGTGAAGTCCTATTGTTCTGACTTGGTCTTTGGACCACAGATGACGTTGGCTAGTGCACGAATTGGCGCACCTTTGTACTGTCCCTGCTTTTTGTAGCAAAACAGCCATTTGGGTTAGTTGGTAGCTGCCTATAATAGAAGATAGAATAGGGGCGTAGTACTTAACACGGACTGGAGGAGAGACGAAAACACTAGCGCGCACTCCCCACTGAAGTTTATTGAACGAGAGAGATTGTGGTTATAAGCTGGAAAAGAAAAGTGAGCCCCGTAACTGTCTGCATCAGCATGCGATACCTCAACAGCAGCTCACAAGGGATGTGGGAGAGGAGGGAATAAAAGGATAGGACTTAAGGTATATAGAGGGAAATGCACAAGGACAGCGAGCGATGACATAAAAAAGATGAGAAAGATGAAACACGGTCACAGGAGTCCGAAAACGGGGCACCACTTGCGAGAGTTCTTGTCGGCGACAGGAGATGGCATAGAGCTAATCCAGTCGGCCAGAGCTGCGCAGTCGTCGTCGTAGGGGACCAGCGGCAGGAGGTGGCGTACGACCAACCCAGTTGGTCAGAGCTGCGCTGTCGACGGAGATCGCGAGGGCACAACCGGTTGGCGCGGAATCCAGTGAGCGAGTCTGCTTATTGAAGGTGCAACACACACACACACACACACACACACACACACACACACACACACACACACACATATATATATATATATATATATATATATATATATATATATATATATATATATATATATATATATATATTCTCTCATTTAAAAAACAAAAAATTGAAAAAGCGTGGTCATTCCACAAAAAGTCATCAAAATATCACCAAGGTGCATTATATTTTTGTGACTTTTTGCGGAATGGTGGTAGTTTTTCAGTTTTCTTTTTGTTTTTTAAGCGAGAGCACTTCTTTCATGTCATCATTTTTAGTAAGCTATATATGTATGTGTTGCACCTTCAATAAACTTCAGTGGGTAGTGTGCGCTAGTGTTGTTCTTCTCTGCTACATACAGTTCGTGTTAAGTACTGCGCCCCACTTCTATCTTCCATAATAATGTCCGTGCTTTCTTGTGCGTTTCGGGAAACCGATACGCCAGCTTCTGGAGTATACCCGCCCAGTGTCTCTCAATTAACGGGATTAGTGACACTTGCACGGCCCAGCAAATGCATACCCGGTTTTTAAATTAGCCCTGCTCTCATTTAGAGCAATAACATAAAATATGGACCAAATCAATTATTACTTGTCAGATTGCCCTAAAAACAGACAGCGAGGGTTTAATGACATCGCAGGGGATAACGAACTAAAACAGCGCTGCGCATGCGCTAAAGAGAGAGCGAAAACTAGCAGAATTTATTTTCGTTCAGGACATCACTGCAATGACCAGCAAAAATGTTCTTGTTATCTTCAAGCTATGAAAATTGCGGCCCAAAAGTACGCAAAGTCGAAAACATAGATGTAACTGCGCATTCGTGGTAGCGCTTGAAAGCTCAGCGATGCACCCGCACTAGAGCACACCCTTGTTTGCAGCCACTGTGCCATACGCTATTGAAGAACCAAGTCTCTTAGCTCGTGAGCAGCCCTTGTGTATCTCACAAACACGGTCAGTTAAGACTTTTTTTTTCCTTGTTATTGACGCCGTGTTAGAATACTCAATTTGGCAAGTGTTTAACATTCTATCGGGGCAAAGCTTCGTTCTTTACCTGTTAGAGACCCACCGAGGTGGTCTTGTTATTATGTTGCTCGACTGCTCACTCGAATGTCGCGGGATCAAATGCCGTCTTCGGCGAACGTATTTCGATGGCGGCAAAGTGCTAGAAGCCCATGTGCTTAGACTTAGGTGCACGGCAAACAACACCAAGGTGTCAAAAATTTTCCAAGCCCTCCACTGCAGCGTCTCCAAGTGATATCGTTGTTTCGGGGCGTAATAACACTACCGTACTGAAGCTTTTGTACTCGCCTTAGTACACAGCTTCGCCCCGCCATTCTCGTGCACCGCAGTAAACGCGCCTATGATATACCATGTGAGCTGAGTTGCGTCGTGTTGGCGTCACTGCAATGCCACGCAGGCAGCTGCCAAGGGCAGTCGCCGAGCCAAAATTGTTGCCGCGTAGGACCAATCTGATCCTGTCAGTACGGCTCATGAAGTCACATGTAGCATGACAGCGAAGTGTCCATTGCACGCATAGCTTCGCACGGTACAGGCGTTCCTAAAATAAAACGCAGCACGCGAGTTGCAGCCAAACGAGGTGAAACAGGCTTTAGGCGAAACTGCATGCCATTGTACTCCATCAGAAGCGCTTCATATCGAGTTCGTCGGCCTATCTGGACGACTCATCCCGCTATTCAGATGACTGGCCTTCTCGCTGGCACGAGCAAAGCCACGCTGCTACCGTCACTGTTCATCCGGCGCGAAATTGGCGGCATTTTTGGTGATATGAAAAGCACATGCCTGCGAAGTTTTGTCAAGACGCAGGCAAAGAAATACATAAACCATTGAAAGCGTCTCATGACGCGCAGTGATGGTGGCAGGTATCAGCGCAGATTCGCTAATGCCAGCGATAATGTCAGTGTATGAATATCGGCATGGGTCAGCTGGATAGTTCGACGTCCTGTCGCTATCTGCAGCGCATCTTTTCACAGAGAACGCGGACATGCGTTTTCGCCTATAGCCCGTTTCACCTCGTTTGGCCACAGCTGGAGCGATTCGTTTTACTTTTGGAACACCTGTAGCAGTTAACTATCAGTGCAAGTTGAAGGTTCATCACCTGATGATGAGCCCTTTGCGGTAAGTTACAAGTTATACTTATAAGTGAAAGCTCCTTCCACGGCTGTCGTTGTACCACCAAAAAAATTGTGTAAATTGTACATTAAATCGCATTTGCTTATTTCCGTGACGTCAAGCACCTTTATCGCATTTGGCGCGGGTGCATTTATCTCACACACACATGTGGGTGTCGCTAGTCTTGGGTAGAACAAAAAAAAAGATCGAGAAGAAAAGGTGCCTCTTTGTGCCATAACAATAATCGTCCTCTATCTAACGTTCCTTTCCTTGCACCACCGCTGTGCGCTCAGCGCAGTCACGTAATGAATGACATGCGCTTTATCTGCGCGTCATACCTTTTATTGCGATAGCAATAATATGGACACTCTCGGCTGTATTTAGACGTCGATGTCATGCACCGTATAAGTATCTATTTATATGAAAACGCAAGAAAGAAAAGGAAAATCCAGAAAAAAGCGCTGCGACAGTGAACGTGGGACCTCTGTGTCGTGAAAGTGAGGCGTTAACCACTGAGACACCCCAGAAAAGATCATCGCCGTTTAAATGGCAAGCTATTTATATCTATCACTTACCGCTGCTGTGTTTTCGGCATTACCAGAAAGACGGCGCAATGAGCGCACGTCGCCACATCACGCAGCGGCGCCCGCTCTGATCTCCTACGCGTACTTTGCCCGGCTTAGAGAAGGGGAGCTACTCTCCCTCGCACGCCCTTATCTCGCGGCGGCGAGGAGAGGAAGATCGTACACCTTGGCTGGCCTCGGGCTTTACGTGGAACGATTCTGCTGTAGCTACCGGGCGCACTAAGACGCTGCGCCGTGCTTCCTAGCGGGCTTCAGAAAGTAGGCGTCTTTCTTATCCTCTAATCACTACCACCACCACCACCACTACAAAGGTCACTGCAATCATTGCAGTCTCCGTTCGCGAAAAGCGTGCGCTTTTCAGACTCGGTGACGTAATAAATGAGACGCTTCTTCACGTGCATCCGTACCTGTGAGTAAGTTTCGTGCGTAATTTGTACGCGAAAAACGCGGGGCACGTTTCAATCTGCTTTCCATTCTGCGCGTCACCTTTCAAATTGTTGCTATCGCATTTATAACTTTGCCTTTGTGGTGAAGCTGTGACTTTTTTGATAGAAGGTGACTACCACAGAGTTTTTAAGAAAGCTAAATCCAGCCTGATGGCTATTATTGTAGTGGGCCAAAAGGACGCCCTTTTTTCTTGATCTTTTTGTTAGAGTTCAGCCGAGCAACCTGCGGCGTTTAAAATTTTAAAAAATCCCTTATACCCTCACAACACTGGTATCATGCTCGCGCGCACATAAGCGGAAACACCGTATACACAGAACTTAATTTAGCCATTAATTGCGTATGTAGAGATGCATGGCCTTCCTTTTCTCGTTACGGTAATTAAAGTGGATTTTCGTATGTTTATTTCTAACTTTTCTTGAACTATCACTAATCTAGGGCATCTAGGTTTATTGTGATCATTATAATTATTAACTTCCCTCCAAAAAACACAGTTGTCTATAAACAGTATTGTATTGGTGAAAGCTCTGGTATTATACATGCAGAGGAGAAACGGCAATGGCTCAAGAACCAGGGGTTCAGGGAACTCGCGATCTTACTACAGCTATATAGTAAAAAAATTGTGCTACAATATAATGCTCGAGCCTATATTATCGGCCGTTTTGGGACGTTAAACCCCACAAATCAATTATATTATCGGCCATCCTATGTCACAGGTAGAGGTGTGGCAGGTAATTCACTTGGTGTGTGTGTACGTCTTATGATTTGCGGGCTCTTCATCACTGATGCAATAATTGTAAGTATTAGTACAAGATCGAGCCCCGACGCGTTGGAGGCTCTCCTAACTGGGAAACCAGCTCGCAGATCAAAAATCGGTAGGTCTCTTTGGAACTCTTATACTGAACAATTCATTGTAATGCATCTGTATATGATGACCTACGGTGCCAACTCTACTGACTTCGCACCATAAGTAGTCTTACAAATTGTGTCATTTCGTGTCGATTGTAGAGAACTTGGGTTTTCCAAGGTGATATGCATGTGTGCGTGTTTGTGTGTGGCGCTTGTGATTATTTGAACTTTCTATACCAAATGCGGTTCCAACTTCGCACAGGATCTCCTCATTCTGTAGTTCGTCAAAAAAATGGGCATGCCAGAGGACAACATTCAGTCGTGGCAAGCGCTGCAACTCAGCAGGGCAAAGTTGAAGGCTTCCAGAGGAACGTCGGCACTGCTGTCTGGTTTCGCAATGGTTGGTATGGAGCTACTCTGTTATCAACACCTATCATACACTCCTATCTCACATTCCACTCTAGTCATCAGTTTCCCATGAAAGTGTCTGTGTTATACCAGCTTTTGCGGGGCTTCCATTGCGGTGGCGTAGCCAAGGGAAAGGGACAAGATGTTCAACCCCCCCGCCACTTACCCACCGTTTTTTCGTTGCTTGGCGCTGACATGATTCAGAAACTTAGCGGTGCTACTATCACAATACTATTCCTGGACGCTTTTACAGTAAATAATGTCCGCACACGGCCAAACGTGTCGCGATGTTTGGCTTCGGCACTCTGAGTTTGGACAGGAACTTCGGCCGCGAACGTTGTAAGTTGGCTCGGCGACCGGATTAACGTTGCAGTGATGGTATTACGGGTACCATGGCTGCAACGAACTTTACAATATTTTCAGTAGGCAGATATTCGTTTTAATGGTAAAATTGAGGGACCCTTAAGCTTCGTCTTTAAGAGCTTAACGTGATAGCAAAATCCGGCCACTAGTGCACCCTTCAACCGCTAAGTTCATACTTACTCACAAGTTTTGTTACATACAGACGCACGCGCACAAACTCGCACACAGTATATTGCACCTACGCGCGCTATTATCGCCGAATGGGCTTGTGTTGTCGTGACACTGGTCAAACAAAATGCGTTAAAGGAGCCCTGAAACGCTTTTTCAAGTAACCAAGGGTTGAATTCACTAGAAGAGCTTATTGCTTCATGAATTCAACGCCCCAATACGTTTAAGAATCCGTCCAGTGCGACTGGAGGTGTAAATGTATGTCGCATGCTGCAATGGCATTATCTCTTCTCTCGTCCCGACGAAAGCGCTGGAAGCTAAGCAAGGAGGTGTGGCAGGGCAAACAAACTACCATGCCTCGTGACCTTTAGCACTTTTTTTTTCTTCGAATGCGCGGCTTCTCGGTGTAATCGCACGCGCAAGAGTGGAGAAGTACCGGCCTCCCGCGATTATCTCGGTGGCTTGATTTTTTCGGACACAGGCGCACAGACAATTTTTCGCTCACAACCAACGTGGCCGACGCCGGCGGCAGCTTTTCTGCGACACGAGCTCTTTCACGCCATCGCGTTGAAAAGCAGACGCAGTTCCAAGGTCTGATAGGCCATGTTTAGGCACATTACAGTGTCACTTTTTGTACGTGTGCTATTATATGCTCAAGCAAGAGAATAACATTTGTGTCGAACCTTACCACCTTCTGCTAAAATGTAGACATGCACGCATACACGCATTCACACATTCATGCACGCACACGTGTGCGCGTGTCACTGAATATTTCGTTTATCTGTTGAACTCCGTGTATATATCGGAGTATACAATTTATTCATACATATCTTTATTATGCCCTCACGGCGAAAGGCACTCTGGATTGTCTAATGACGAAGGTGTAACACAGGCAAACGTGCAGGCGAATCATAACCGTAGGAAGACCTACTAACATGCTGATCTTGTACCTTAAGCAGATGAATTGGATACCCCAGGTGGGCGAAATTTCCGGAGTCCTCCACTATGGCGTCTCTCGTAATCGTATGGTGGTTTTGGGACTTTAAACCCCACATATCAATGAATAAATAAATAGGATAAGTATCGTAAACCTGATTGATCTATTGATTGATATATAGGCTATAACGTACCAAAAGCCCCATTTGATTATGAGAGACGCCGTAGTGAAGGGGTCCGGAGATTTCGACCACCTTGGTTTCTTTAACTTGCACTCAAATCTGACAACATAGGTCTGCAGTATTTTAGCCTCCATCGAAAATGCAGTTGTCGCAGCTGGGATTAACCTTGCGATCTGGTAGTAATAAACATAAAGCAGCTTAATAAAAAATGCAGTGCGGACAGTTGTAGTGAGCAGACGTTTTATTGTTCAGTCGTGTGGCAAACAGCGCAACAATAATTAACATAACAATGAAAAAACTACAATATATATATATATATATATATATATATATATATATATATATATATATATATTATTTTGATTCGCCTCGGGTGTTTGTCCCTTTACTATATGACTAGAATGACTAGAAGGGCACCACGAGCGATTTTCGCAACTAGCGACATAACGCACATCCAGAAATTGACTGAATGAAGAAACATGGGTGGAGATGTTATCATGTGAAATTAAGAGCAATATACACAGTAAACATAATTTTTGAAAAATAGAATTAACTTGTGCAAGCAAGGTTTCACCCAGTGAAGAGACACGTGACATATCAGAATAGGGTTATTTTTTTCAATCGACACGATGATTGACACGAGTATAGAGCAGCGGTCTTGTGGTTAGTCACACTCGTTGTGGCTTTCGAGCGCGTTCTTCCAACGCATGGAGAGAAAGAAGACCATGGCACCAAAAACTTTGTGAGTACTCTTGCCCGAACTTTCTTTTCCAAAAAGCGCGCATGTCTTGTGGAGAGCTCCCTCGTTATATTTGGAATACACCAGCCAGGCAAGCATTTCTAGCCAGAAAGGTTGGAAGTTCAGTTAGCACCCACTATCGGAGGAAAGGTTGAGTTAACGCCAGGTTTCTATGACGTCATTTGGAAACGTCGTTGAGTCTCGTCGTCCGGCAGCTCCTGGCGTTTTGGCTGGTTAAACACGTAAAGATCAAAGTCATAGTAAGGAATCGTGGTTTTTGTGCATGCGTCATGCTCCGATCAGTTTTCAGGAGTTCTTTCAGAACACTATAGTAGTTTTCAGGCACATACCGCTTGGAACCATTACTTTCGGTGTTGTAGCCTTTTCGCCAGTTTTTGAGTGTGCACATGGGCAAAACGTCACCTTTCGAGAAATAATCACCCGGTGTTACATTACGGCGTCACGGCGCAGTAATCAAGTCTCATAGAGGGGCGCTGATTGACATAAAAAACGAGCTGCCCACCAATACGTGTAGGCAGTGTATTTACAAGGGGTGACGTCGTATTGCTATAGGAAGCAACGCACTCAGCAAAGTTCGGGCAGTGACACTGAATGCGAGAAACGAGAACATGGAAAGTACATGTCGTCTAGAAATGTTCCGCCTTGAACACACTAGAGCTTGTTTCTCCTCTGGCCAAAAAGTTCGCGGGTATACATTTCTTCCGCTTCCCTTCAGGTGCCGGTGAGGTAGTGCTTGCCCAGTACCTTATTCTGCGCTCGAAGCGCCTCGCGTTTGCAATTGCACCCTTACAGAATGGTGGTAGGTTCTGTTGCGTTGTGATGCCATACCACAATTGCGACTGAACGCGAAGGTGTTTATGCCAGCAGTGAAAGTCTAGCTACTCGCTTCAAAATGCCCGAAGCAGACAACCGCCAGGCAGGGATGGTGTACAGTACAGTGTAAATAAATGTGTGTTTTATGCGCTGCAGTTCTTGTTGGAGTTCACGCGTTGTAAAAAAATTTTAATTACTGCATTATGCTCTGAAGAAGACCGTAGTTCATTCTTTCATCACTAGAGAAACGATCACTCGAGATTTTGTGTGGTACGAGGCTGCTCCTGTTCGCACCGGCACAAGTGCTGCAAACATGATTTCACTTACTAGTTAGAACAGTGTATACATGACATATCTATTGTGTGTGGCAAAATATGCTCAATAGTTCTTAATCTGTTGTAAAATGAAATGACGGATGCACGCTTGCAAACAACGGAAGACAGCTTGGCAAAGCGCTACCGTTTCAGGAAGCAGAGCGAAGAAATCCACGAAAAAAAAAAACGAGAACATTCTGCGTTTTTGCACGTATTTAGGTTTTGTAGCGCATATACACAGCGAACAAGCTAATTTTATGAGTAAGTATTGTCTGGTCACAGGTTCATTTTCGACTGCGGCCAACTGAACATTTCTCAACAATGACTACCTTGCCCTCGCAGATATCACGATAGATCTTCTACAATTGGAGTACTTCATTGCTGTAAAAAGTCACCGACCAACTGTATTGTCAGCCTAGGTTACGAGAAATTTGCCAAAAAATAACCCGTGTGAACTAGTGTTCCTAACGTGCAGCATAACTTACAAAAATGCACTTATTGCGTATTGCAAGCATGCTTAGATGAGGACAGTAAAAATAAAAAAAAATGCTGAGTGAAAGCTATCAGTGCGTCAGCGCTGCTGAACATATAGGGCTTAACATAAAAATCATTCCCATAAGCTATTGCTCCAAACGGTCACTCTAGTTGTCGTTTGCGGTGTTTTATTGCGGTTACTTTACTTTCATTTACTTTTTAATAACACAATCTGCTCAAGCTGCCGCCTATAGACACGTCACAGAACAAAGCTGATAGCTGTGTCCCCCCCCCCCCCGGAAATAAATTTCTGCCTATGCCCCTGTACCATTGCTTTCGTTTAGAGGAAACTTTATCAGCCAAGCTGTTCTTCGTCGAGGTTTTCATGTCTGAGATGGTGGTGTCACTGATCACGTTGACTCGTATGTGGCGCGAGTGACTAATAGTAGGAAAGGAGGACTGCAGTGTGTCTGGCGAGAGGCTAGTGGAAGGTGACAGCGTGTGCGCAGGATGTCAACAAGGGCTACCGCTGAGGATGGGGCCCTTGCCACCCCTACCCTTGCTTCTGGACTGCTGCTTCTGTTGATGACGACCGTTCCACTGCTCAATTAATCTTTCCTCTTCTTTCCACTTTTCTCCCTTTTCCCTTCCCTGCAGGCACTGCGCCGTGCTCCCGACCGGGTTGCAGAAATTAGGTGCCTTTTCTCATCTTCTAACCACTACCACCACCATGTCAATGGCGTGCTGCTAGAGGCGAGGGCGGAAGATTTCGAGGGTGAACATCTGAAAAACGTGCCAACATGGGGTGACGGCGAGGCACAATGAAGCGTACGATAGCGCGCCAATGACAGTGTTCAGGAGTCCGCGCTTTCAAGATGGCAAACATTTCTCGTTGTCCCGATGAAGAAGTCATCCCACGTGAGCGTCAGCGAGAGGTGATGCGAAAACAGGCATGTCATCGCCGAGCCAGCCTTTATGTTCGTGCAAGAGAGGCCGAAGCTAAAAGCCAGTGAACGAAAGACTTGAAAGATACAGAATTACTCATGAAGGATGGGCATAAGCGTCACTATTTTGACAGCGCTTGCGAAGTGGAGATTTATGTCAACCCCCATAAATCGCTGCTTCACTCTAAGTCTGAAACACCTGGTCAATGGCAGCTTAAGCGGACCAGTATTTATTAATTTCTCCGGCAAGCGCTTTGGTTAATGCTGCTTGAGGTCCGCGCTTGTTCATGGAGAATACACACACTTGAGTGACGTTTCGGTGAGCGCTAGGTGGAAAACTTTCATGTATGCTTGGTGTATATACGCTCGGCCTGATGAGAATATATATATGTATATATATATATATATATATATATATATATATATATATATATATATATATATATGCATATAGGCTTGCATAAATAATTGATTGATTTGTGGGGTTTAACGTCCCAAAACCACCATATGATTATGAGAGACGCCGTAGTGGAGGGCTCCGGAAATTTTGACCACCTGGGGTTCTTTAATGTGCACCCAAATCTGAGCACACGGGCCTACAACACTTCCGCCTCCATCGGAAATGCAGCCACTGCAGACGGGATTCGAACCCGCGTCCTGCGGGTCAGCAGCCGAGTACCTTAGCCACTAGACCACCGTGGCGGAGGTTGCATAATTATACAAGCAGATGATATGTATATATTCTTTAGAATACCTCCATTAATAATAAGGATACTAAAATTAAGTATTGCCTCAACCCTCTAGTATACATGCACCCGTTTACATGCGCCTTTACACACACGGTCACGCTTAAAAATCACTTTCTGTGTGTGACATCATCACGTTTGTGTGACAAAGAAAATACGGCACACCGCGCACGACACAGCACAGCACGAAGACGTTGAGTCTTGCGTGGAAATCACTTTCGTAGTCTGTTGCAGTGATGGGTGTGCGGCGCCAAGCAGACCACAAGATGTGGAAACAGCGGGACGAAGGGGCCACGCAAAACGTGTGAAACGCACCCGCAGATGGTTTTCAGTCACTTGGCTTATTGTTCGCGGCACTCCAACGAACCGAGACGTACAGACATATCCACCCTTCTTAAGCCATTTTTACTGGAAACAGCCTTTCATAGGTCGCCAGTCAGTCGGGTTAGTTCAAAGGGTTCTACGAGGAGAGACGGCTGCACCGCGAATTTCCAAGTACGGCTTGCGTGACGTTGTCGCTTGTGGTTCACCTCGGGGAGCGCTATCCCGACAACATCTCACGCCCAAGCGGCGCCATGTAAGGAAGGCCGATCATAACAGTGAACTGATGAAACAGAATGAAAGACGCACGAAACGAGCACACAAGTACATACAAGACAAGGGCGAAGAACTGTTACACTTTTTCCTTCACCGTGTGTCAGCGGCGGACTGCTTTCGTAAACCCGGCCGCACAGCATGCCAAGTGACCTCTGTTTTTTCCCGAATAAAGAGGCCCTGCAACAAAAGTTGCCGATCGGTAGTAGGAGCTCCCGAGAACCCACGAGCTAGATATTATAGCGAAGCACGCGGCCTAAAATTCGTTAATAATAAATAGGTTAAAAATTGCGTTCTTTTCTCTCGACAAATGACAAGACGTTCAAAAATCACTCGTAGATGGCCATCTATCAACCATTGGCTGATTTGAACATATTGCGCTTGGTCAATACAGGAATCGCTGTGAAAGGCTGCTACTTGTCCACGCGTGTGCGCGCAATCACCATAAAGAAGCCGCGTATTCGAAGAAAAAAAAAGAAAACAGTGCTCAAGGTCATGAGGCACGCATGACGCATTTTTTTTTTTTTGGCCCCTGCCATTTTCCCTGCTCAGCTTGCAGCGCTTTTGTTGGGACGAGAGAAAAGAGAACACATTTGCAGCGTGTGACAAATCTTTGTATTTCTGCTCATACTAGGCCGATTCATAAAATTTTGCGGCGCTGAATGCGTAAAAACAAGTTCTTGTAGTGAATGCACTCTATGGTTACTTGGAAAAGAGTTTCAGGGGCTCTTTAAGAGTCTGGGAAGCGCGCGCGCAGCTGGAGGTGGTGCTTCGTGAAGGCGACAAACTTTTGAGCGCGCCCAACGCCAGCCCATCACGCCATCTCGCCACTGATAACGAAAATGCGCTCATGTTTCGAAGCTACGAGGACCGCCAAACGGAGTACGGTGTATATAAATGGCCAGCCGTTAGCAATAAAGGCAACGTGCGTTCCGTGGCGTAGTGGTTGGCGCCACGCGCAGAAAAACGGTAAGTTCCTGGTTCAATTCGACGAGATATGTTCTTGCCTTCTGGTATTTTTTTTTTGCAAAATATATCAGTAAATTTTGAAACGCCACTTCCGTGATAGAAGTAAGTCAGCAGAGTCATGGTGGACCCCGACGAAAAACACTATTGGGTTAGGAATCGGCAGCTGTGTCTTTTGTAACCCAAGAAAGTTTAACTCTGCCTTCGCTTATGCTAGACAAATGAGCGGAATTGACAGAATAAGCAGCTTTAGCATTAAAAGCGACTATATGAAATGTTTAATGTGATGTCTTTGTTTTTGAACTTATTTTTCAAAGGTATGAATACATTAACGAATTACCAATGAGGTGCCTTTAAAGCAATGCGTGCAAACACATGATTGAGCACTTTGATGATGCTATGTAGGATATTGATGATGATAAGAATGAATGACAGCTGAGCCCGTTTTAATAGTTGAGCAACATCACACCAATCACTCCCCACCGGCCATGGCGCTTGTGCATGGCCTTTTTTTTTCTAAAGTAGCTTTGAGCACTGGCGTGGCTATCATGTGGAGCACTTCTCTATACACAGAACGCTTGTGTTCGATTCGGGAATGAACGCTGTTTTAAGTAACACTTCACAGCTCACGAGAGCTTTTATACCGCGCGCCACGCTTCTCGAGGCTAGCTACTGATATGAAAATTCAAGCTTTCTCTTTTACAACATACACCTCTTGAATGATAGGACTTCTCCCCTGTCCTCTGAATAAAACACTGCCCTTCATGTTTTCACATAGTCTATAGCATATGGGCAAGCTGAGACATAACAAGCTTATAGTTTTGCAAGTAAGTCTGCATAAGATTACACGGCTTCTGTATTACTGTAGTAGTTTTCAAATTGAGTGCTTGTCCTTAGGTGGCCCTGGTAGAGATGCAGCTGAGCAAGGCCATCCCCCCGGAGCTGCTGATAGTTTTCAGCGTGTGCACCACACTGCTGGTGTCGGTGTACATGTTGGCGCTTATGATCTCGACCTGCATCCTGCCGCATTTGGATGCCGCAGCCTGCTTGGACGGCACCGGCACCGCCTCCAAGTCGCCCCACGAGAAGATGCGGCTCTACATCGAGACGGCCTGGGCAGTCTCCACTGTATTTGGCCTCTTGCTCTTCATGTCAGAGATCGCTATTATATCCTGGATTGTGTTTTACAGCTATAGCCCGGAGGCTGCACTTGCTGTGACCATCATCCTCATACCGGTCGCGATTGTGTTCTTAGTATTTGCCGTGCATTTCTACCGACAGCTCGTCACGCACAAATACGAGCAGTCGGTGATGTGCATCAGCGAGCTTGAGAGCATGGCCAACCAACTACAAGATGGCGGTGTGGCTGGTTCCGACCACGAAGCACTTCATCGAAATGTCTGAGTTCAGCGCTGCCTCATGGATGGTGTTTGTTTTTCTGCAACTTCCTATGCAAATGACGTTATTAGCTACTGTAACTTACTGCCGCACTCGCTGCTAATCACTAATGGCGAGTTATTTTTTTTTCGAATACAGGCATGACTTCGTTTTGTTTGACAGAGAATTGCGCTTTATGAGATAACTTCGACCGTTTGTAGTTTCTATTTATTATTCAGCAACACTGGATGAGTGCCGAGTTCCCAGAATTTCGGGAAGCACTGGCGGCTTTGTAGTTTATCTCTGCACCATGTCTATTCATATCTAGCCCGACTAGTAGGTGTTTTTATTGAAAAGGATTAGATAAAGAAAACTAGCATGTTTTATGCCTTGCGACAATAAACACCATAACATATCATGTGATCGACCTCAATAAATGCACAAGGCCCGTGTTAGTTTCTGAGCTGACACGTGTTTACATGCCTGAATTGCCTAAGGAATGCACAGTCAACCATAAAAGCTTGCACGCCACGTGAGCAAGTGACAAACCGCTTGTCTTCACCACTTAGCCATGCGCTATTTACCGTGAAACGCAGGGCGGGGCCGGAAGTGCGTCTTGTTGTTGTTCACAGGTCTTTCGATTTTCTGCTGCCATGCTGCACATTGTTGGGTCAGATTTCACTCCCAGCTTGTATCTGCAGTAAACCTCCACTCTTCTACTTTGACAGCCGTGTCAAGGATATGCCCCGCCGTGGTGGTCTTGTGGCTACAGTACTCGTCTGCTGACCCTCAGTTCGCAGGATTTAATCCCGGCTCCGGCGGCTGCATTTTCGATGGAGGTGAAAATGCTGTAGGCCCGTGTGCTCAGATATGGGTGCAGGTTAAAGAACCACAGGTGGTCTAAATTTCCAGAGCCCTACACTATGGCGTCTCTGATATTTATAAGGTGGTTTTTGGACGCTAAACACTACATATCAATCAAAAAAATCAATGATATCACGGCGTGCCTCGGACAGCGTGTCGTAGGGTAGATAGCACTTTGTTAAAAAGACTGCGGCTTATAACAATTATGCTGATAGACTGCTCACCAGAAAGAACGACGTAGCCACGGTTGATAAACAGTGCGTCGCGTAAGCAAAGTGGAAGATGAAAAATTTTGCATTCTTTAGGAAGCACAAAGACCATCAATTAATGGAAGGGTGCGTCTGTAGGGGCCTGCGTTCCCGTCGATCGTGGCGGACGTTGCGCAACTGTTGCAAAGAGGCTCTTGGCCATGCGCTTGCATGGTTCATACATTTTGAGGTTGACTGCACAGTCGAAAGTGTAGTGCACCTAAGTTGTAGTGACAAGAGTGTTAAACTGGTTGCTAGATAATCATCATGAGGGGACAAGGCTCCGCGTGTATACGTCATGCCTGTGGCGAGCATTGTCACATTTTTTAAGAAATGAAAAGCAGTTCAGGCGGCTGATCAAAAAAAGTTTGTGTTTCAACCGTCAAATAGCGTTCCGTCATGATCAAAGTTTTTTGTCTACACTTTACTCCATTTTACGTCATCGGCTTTTTTTTAGAAATGACACGTTGCAGTCGTTTATCGTACACAGTGAATGTCATTCGACATAACTTGTTTTTTTTTTTTGAACTTGTTCCCGGTGGCAAGGCAAAGGTTTAAAAACTGCACGGAAATGTATCAGCGCCTGCGTAATGCTAGAATTGAAACTATACCTACTTCATATGACACAGCTGGAAGCCGTTAGGGATGGACGGATGGACAGATAGATACTTTAAGCGTAGCCTTCATAACAAAGTGGTGCCTTGTGCATCGGAAACTTGAAACATTTTTTGCTTTAAGTCAGCTTAATATGCCACTTCTACTTCCATTAAATCAATCTTGTTATAAAAAAGAAAGGAATCACCCTACTGTCAGCCCTTTATGACAGACTGACCTTAAACTTCCCGCAATTTTTTTTTTACTTTTGAAACACCAATTGTCCAACAGTCTGTTGTTACGTCTGTTTACTAGTGCACAAATATATTTCCCGGTGTATCTCCCATTCATTTAGAACATGCTCAATCATTTCTGTGGCTTGGACTGAGCGTGAATATTTTTGTTTTACCGAATTTTGCTTGCAACTACATGCTCTCCAGAAGCGGCCTCGCCTCGGTGGTCTAGTGGCTAAGTTACTGAGCTGCTGACCCGCGGGTAGCGGGATCAAATCCCGGCTGCGGCGGCTGCATTTCTGATGGAGGCAAAAATGCTGTAGGCCCGTGAGGTCAGATTCGGGTGCAGGTTAAAGAACCCCAGGTAGTCGAAATTTACAGAGCCCTTTACTACGGCGTCTCTCAACAATATGGTGGTTTTGGGACGTTAAACCCCACATATCAATCTCCGGAAATGCCACCTCACATCAAAAGGGAAGAATCTACGTAAGATCGAACGAAGCATGGCTGCTCAACCTCTTGATTTTATTTTAAATTCTACGTATTGTTGCCTGATGAGTGAGAAGGGATCTGCAATTTTATTGGTAGCAAATTTCTTTTTCGATGTCCAGTAAATCAATAATGATGAGGAGGTGAAGTGTCGCGTTTACAAGCTCTGCTGTTGTTTTCGACTTTGGCGATGAATTACACAAAATATATTAAAGCTACGTACCAAAAATTTGTTAAGCTAACTAAAGGCATGTTTGTGTTTACGTTCATTTATTTTTGGCGTTTCTGAGTAGTTGAAATAGCTTTATAAAGAAGTCAAAATGATTCGGAAAACATATTTTCACCTAATTTACAAGCCCTAATTACCAAAAGGGCTTACAAAAACCGGTGAAAACTCCGCGCAACTTTCTCAGCATGATTAGTTATAAACTTCTGAACCTTATATTAATAACACTTTTGAAAAAAAAATATCATCACGCTAACTTCAAGAAAAAAGGCATTTCAGAAAAGGCTTCAAGAAAAAAGTCATATCATTTACCGTCGTCTATTCGAATCACGTGATACCCAATTTCGTATATGTGGAGCTAGCGGAACGGCCATGAGCGCAATTTGAGCGCAGCATGTAAACTTGTTTTGCATGACACGCGTATCAGGATTATCATGTTCAAACATTTTATTTACCTTCGTCCTCCATTCACATCAATATATTGATTGATATTTGGGATTTAACGTCCCAAAATCAGCATATGATTATGAGAATCGCCCTAGTAGATGGCTCCAGAACTTTCGACCACCTGGGGTTCCTTAACGTGCACCCAAATCTGAGTACACGGGCCTCATTCACGTCATGGAATACCGAATTTTGTATGTGGAAAGCCAGACAAACAACCACAGGCGCGCTATGAGCGTAGTATGTGGTCATGTTTTACATGACACACATGTCATGATCAGCATGTTCAGACTTGTCATTTTCCTTCATCGTCCATTCAAGTCATGTAATACCAAACTTTGTATTAGCGAAACCGCCACGAACGCATCATGAGCGTGGCATGTAGTCATGTTCTTACATAACACGCTTTCCATGATTATCTTCTTTGAACCTGTCATGTACATTCATCATCCATTCACATCCCATATTAACAAGTTTGGTATGTGTGAAGCTAGCGAAACGAACGCGAAAGCACTATGAGCATATATATAGCATGTAGTCTGCTTTTACATGACACGCATGTCATGATTATCATGTTTGGACGAGTCATTTAACATCGTCGTCCATTCGCATCACGTAATACTAAATTTGGTATATGGAAAGCTAGCGAAATGGCAACGAGTGCTTAATGAGCGTGGCATGTAGTCATGTTCGTACATGACACCCATGCCCTGCCGTGGCGGTCTAGTAGATAAGGTACTTGACTGCTAACCCGCTGGTCGCGGGATCGAATCTCGACTGCGACGGCTGCATTTTCGATGCAGGCGGAAATGCTTAGGCTCGTGTGCTGAGATTCGGGAGCAGGTCATGAAACCCCAAGTGGTCGAAATTTTCTAAGCCTTCCGCTATATGGCGCCTCTAATTATGATATGGTGGTTTTGGCACGTTTAACCCCGCATATCTATTACATGACACGCATGTCATAATTATCACGTTTGCACCAGTCATATACCTTCGTAATCCAGTGACGCCACGTAACAGCAAATTTGGCATATGTCAAGCTACTAAAACGACCGCGAGCGCTCCATGAGTGTGGTGTGTAGTCATGACTTACATGACATGCATGTCATTATTTCCTCGTTAGAATCTGTCACTTATGCTCGCCATGCAGTCATGTTATATAAAACCGATTTTTCATTATGTCATAAACCACGGCAAGAGCAGCAACACCATGAAATTTAAATCATGACACTCATGACATACATGTCATGAGTTTCACTCTATGACTAGTCACTCTTACTATTTGTAGACTGATGTTACGTCATGCCATATTTGGTATCTATGCATTGAAGAAACGGCCAGGAGAGCTAAAAGTCGTAGGTGGCTAGATAGATAGATAGATAGATAGATAGATAGATAGATAGATAGATAGATAGATAGATAGATAGATAGATAGATAGATAGATAGATAGATAGATAGATAGATAGATAGATAGATAGATAGATAGATAGATAGATAGATAGATAGATAGATAGATAGATAGATAGATAGATAGATAGATAGATAGATAGATAGATAGATAGATAGATAGATAGATAGATAGATAGATAGATAGATACGCTCAAAGTCGCCGAAGTTCGCTAAGAAATGCTTTGCATTTAAAATGCCCTACAAATGTCATACAATCTTCAGGTCCACATGCTGGGATCATTATTGCGCAAGGGCCTCTTCCGACGGGTCCTCTTCACACAGGAACATAAACTGTGCGTGCTTGTTCGCTCGGTAACTTCCCGCACTCATTGCCGCTCCCGTTACCAGATCATTCTAAAATTGGCGTCCTCAGTGCAGCCAATGAATATTTTAGGTGCTGCTGGCCTTTTCACAAACTAAAGTATAGGCCTGTATTCCATATTTAACAGACAGAAATTCCGTTCTTCAATTGCCTATCCTTGCGTAGTGGAATTTTTGACGGGCTGTAACTGAAAGTGAAATCTTATTATGCTATAACTTTTTATTTATTGTGAAAACTTATGTGTAGACTCTTACGTGGGGAAAGTCTAACAAATATCAAAATTGTTTTCGAATCACAGTGAGAAGTGTTCCTTCATGATTTTTTTTTGAAGTTAGCGCAATCACTCTTTATTAAAGAGTGTTAATAATACAAACTTTAGCAGTTTTACAAATAAGCATGCTAAAAAAGTTGTGCTGGATTGTGCCCGTTTGCCATAAGCCCTTTTTGAAATAATAGCCTGCAAGCTAGGCAAGAAAAAAAATGTTTTCTGCGTAAATTTTCAGGTTTTTATAAACGTACATCGACTACCTCGAGACTCCAAAAATAACTGAACGTAAGCAAAGGTATGCTTATATTTACCTAAACAAATTTGTGGTA